TGCTAACAAAGACTCAGTTGACGATGGTTCGCACAACTTTTGCCAGCTTTATAACTCAGTTGCCCCTTCGCCCTCTGAGCCGCCCTAAGCAGTTCCCAGGGCTGCCTCTGTCTTGAGCTGGATTGCTGAGAAAATGGGATTATTGGAAGAAGCCTCCAGGTGGCTGCTCTTGCCCAAGGGGTCGAGAGCGCTCCTTGAAAGACTGTAAACAGGACCATAAATGCCAGTCAGGGGAGGTTCTGCTGAGCAGTTTTCTGGGTCCGGACACCCACGCAGGGGATAATTGGGGGCAGCTCTTGGCTTGCCCCACGCTAGGGTGCTGAGTGGAGTCACGCTTTACCCCACACTGCTTGCCATGAACTCACTTCCCCTCGGGGAGCCAGCAGGTGAAGAGGGCACCACGGCTCCGTGGCTGCAGGAGGCGCTTGTTCCCGTGGTACCTGTCTCCGCAGGTAACTCCAGTAGAGATATTCAAATCCACTGTACCACCGTACCACTATCATCCCGTTGTTCGTCGATTTACTCGAGCGGGCACCAGTAACATCTCGTTCGTCCCAGCCCTGAGATTTTAGCAGCCTCTCCTTTCTGGTCTTTGCCAACGCTGCCGTATTGGAGCCTCTTTCAGGGTCAGGAGAATGAAGCCCGTTATTGTTACTGTTTTTGGCATAGCGAATACGCGACAGGTAGCTTGCCAGGCTCTGCCGTGCGTTTGTATATATGTATTTTTTAGATATTATTTTTAGTAAAGTAAAGTAAAGGCCCTCCCGTTGATTGTCGATTTGCTCCAGCGGGCCCAGTAACGTCTCCATTGGAGACTTTGTTGTTACTGTGTTTGGCATATCGAATACGTCACTGGGAGCTTGCCAGGCTCTGCTGTGCGGGCGAGATACTCTCGGTAGCTTGCCGGGCTCTCCGAGAGGGCCGGAGGAATCGAACTCGGGTCGGCTACGTTGGCTGCGTGCAAGGCAAACGCCCTACCGCTGTGCTATCGCTCCAGCCCTATATTATTTTTATATACATATATATACATAAATATATACACTCTAACAACAGGAAAAAAAGTAGTGCAAAGCACTTCAGCCTGCTTAAAACCTAATAATACTTTAGACCTAGGTGATACAAAACAAATATTCAAATCCATCACCAAGAATATTTACACTGGGGCATTTGGGGGAGATTTTTTTTTTATTATTTGATAATCTAACGTGTCCTTCCACTGAAAATGGCATTTTTCTTTTTTCTTTTTTTTGTGGGGGGGCAGGGGTGGATGGTGTTGGAGCCACACCGGGGAGTGCTCAGGGATCACTCCAGGCAGTGCTCAGGGATCACACCAGGCAATGCCCAGGGATCACTTAGGCAGTGTTTAGCGATCACACCAGGAAGTGATCAGTGCTCAGGGATCACTCCAGGCAGTGCTCAGGGATCATGCCAGGTAGGGCACAGGGGTGCCAGAGATTAAACCCAAGTCGGCCTATGCAAAGCAAGCACCTTACCTGCTGTATTCTTTCTCTAGGTCTTAGGTAAAAGGTAAAGGTAAAGGCCCTCCCGTTGATCATCGATTTGCTCAAGCGGGCCCAGTAACGTCTCCATTGGAGACTTTGTTGTTACTGTGTCTGGCATATCGAATACTCTCGGTAGCTTGCCGGGCTCTCCGAGAGGGGCGGAGGAATCGAACTCGGGTCGGCCATGTGGGCTGCATGCAAGGCAAACGCCCTACTGCTGTGCTATCACTCCAGCCCACCGCTCTCTCGGTGGCTCTCCGCCGTGAGGATCGGGACCGTCGTTCCCCTGGGTGTGTGTGGGATGGTCGGGGCCTGTCTTGAGGACTTCTTCCCTGGCTTCCCGCCGCTCGAGCCGCCCGCCAGGGCCCTGTGCGCCGGCTCTTGCCCTAGGTCTGATAATATTTTAAATATTACTGCTTTTCAATCCTATCCAGAGTCCCAGTAGATGAATTCATAACAGGAGTTTCATGTCTGTGGTCATTCAAAATGAGCTTCAGCTTTTCTAAAATAGTGTCAGTTGTGTCTTGACTAGAGGAGAGTCACGTTGAACGTTAAGTACACAAATAAAGGGTCAGTTCCTGAAAAGAAAAAGGAGGTGTTAACTCTTGCCTGTTGTTGGTGGTGCTTTCGTGATTCTGCTCACCCACCCGGGGTGGAACCCGGAGCCTCAGGCGTGACCGTGGAGCTGATGATCCCTGCCCATGATTACCTGATTGATGACTCATTTGTTCCTTGCCACATCTTAAAATCCTTGAGGATAAGAAATTTTCCTTCTGTGTGGTCATTGTTGTCCTTTTGAGGGGGTCCCATGCTTGTGGCATTGTTTGAAGTATAAATTTCAGTGGGAGAGAGAGAGACAGAGACAGAGAGAGACAGAGACAAAGAAAGCACACCTGCCATAGAGATGTGGGTGTGAGAGGAAAACTGGGGACATTGGTGGTGGGAAACAGATACTGGTGGAGGGACGGGTGTTGGGACATTGTATGACTGAAACCCAATCATGGAAGCTTTCTAACTGTGTATCTCACAGTGATTCAATTCTTAAAAAAAAAAAAAGGGAAAAAAAAAGCTCAAGGCGGCCTATTTTTGCTCCTTGGGCTTGGCCCTCCTCTCCTTCCCTCCCCTGGGCTCTCATCCGTCTGTTTCCCTGTCCATTGTTTTTCTCCTTTGTTTCAACTTGATTGTTTTTTCCTTGTAAAGAAATTAAACTTTTCCCGTTTCAAATCACCGCGGTTTCCTTCTACAGTTTCTATTGCTTCAAAGAGGCCTGCGGCTTCCTCCATCCTGGGGGCCTTTGTCATGGTGTCATTCTGGCTGCGGGTTCTCGGGAAGGCTCTGCCCTCAGAATTGTCAGCCGCTCTGTCCCCAGTTTGGGGGGTTGGGAGTTTGGGGTTGGGGGTGTTTTATTTTTTTTTTTTTTGGTGGTGGTGGTTTTGTTTTTTTGGGGGGGAAGGGGGCAAGGGGATTGATGGAGCAAAGGTGTGAATCTTTATTCCTCACAGGGATCGAAATCACCCACAAGTGTGTTGGGGGGGCAGAGGGTAGGTAAGATAGAGAAAAGGGGCTGGGATGACAACGATAGCTGGAAATGATCACCCTGGACAAGAACTGTGTTAAAAGTAGGTAAGGGAGCGATAGCACAGCGGTAGGGCGTTCGCCTTGCACGCAGCCAACGTGGCCGACCCGAGTTCGATTCCTCCGCCCCTCTCAGAGAGCCCGGCAAGCTACCGAGAGTATCTCGCCTGCACGGCAGAGCCTGGCAAGCTCCCCGTGACGTATTCGAGATGCCAGACACAGTAACAACAAAGTCTCCAATGGAGACGTTACTGGGCCCGCTTGAGCAAATCGACGATCAACGGGAGGGCCTTTACCTTTACCTTAAGGGATGTTCCTGATAAGCTTACAGTATCTGTGATACAGACCACAGTGCCCAAAAGGAGGGGCGGGGGAAGCACCTGCCATAGAGGCAGGCAGGGCGTGGGGGATGGGGGGTGATGGGAGGGAACCTGGGGACACTGGTGCTGGGAAGTGACACTGGTGGAGGGATGGGTGTTGGGACACTGTATGGCTGAATCATGGGTAAGGGTCTATCTCACGGTGATTCAATAAAAAAAAATTCTTTTAAGTCATCACGGAACGCTACAGATCTTCGAGATGATTCTGGAGAGCCCTGGCGTCCATTACTGACAGATTGTTTGTGGGAACAGAGCTTCTCATGAATGTTTCCCCCCAGACAGTCTTGCATTAATGTCTGTGGAGCTTGGCCCAAGAGAGGGCAAAGGGATGAAGGCCCTTGTCCCACACAAGGCCAACGCTGAGTTTGGTTCTCAAGACCACAGACGGTCCCCTGAGCACCGCCAGGAGGGGCCATCCTGAGTTGGCCCTGGACACGCCAGCCCTGACCACACACCTCCCCCAACCCGCCCCTGCAGAAGCTGAGGAAAGAAAAATCCTAGGAGCGCCCAGCGGACTTCCTCTCTGAATGCAGCACCCAGCTCTGCTCTTCCCTGGGGGAGAACTGTATTCTCCTTGCTTAGGGTGGGGGGCCCTTTCTCCCTCTGCTATTCGGGACCCTCAGACCAGGCCCCTGGGTGGCCCAAGAGGATGCTGCTCTTCTCAGAGCCGTCCTCGTGGAGCTGTGCGCTGGGCTTGCTCCCGCCTCCGCAGGATCACGCCTCCTGGCTGGGCCTGGAGCCCGGGTCAGCCGCAGGCTCGGCCAGTGCCTGGACAACTGGACCATCTCCAGCCCATTTTTATGCTATTTTTAGAGTCTGAAGATAGCAAGATACTTGCTGAGACCTGCAGGGCCACTGCCCCAGCGATGGCTCCTTGCTCTGTCTGGGCCCTGGGGGGACGCCGGCCGTTCCTCCACGGCGGAGAGGAGGCTGCCGGGCCTTGGTGTCTCGTCCTTGAGGGTTTCTCTGATTGATTCCCCGCTGCCTTCCTTCCTGTCCTAGTTTTGGGTTTTGGTTTTGGGGGGGGAAGGCAGTGAGGGGGGGGGGTCCTCACCCGGAGATGCACAGGGGTTAGTCCTGGCTTTGCACTCAGGAATGACTCCTGGAGGTGCTCGGGGGACCTAGTAGGGTGCCGGGGATCGAACCTGAGTCCGTCATGTGCAGCTTGGCCCGCTGTACTGCGGCTCTAGGTCCCTGTGTCCCAACAGTAGCTCATAAACTCGTCCTCTCTCCTCCCTATCTCTTTCTCTCCCTCCTCCCTCTCTCCTTCTTACTCCTCCCCCGTCCTCACTCTTTCCTTTTCTCCCTCTCCCCCTTTCCCTCTCCCCCATTCTCCCTCTCTCTCCCCCCCTGTCTTTCTCCCCCTCTCTCCCTCTCCCTCTCCATCTCCCTCCCTCCCCACCCTCTCTCTCTGTCTCTCTGTCTCCCCACACACGCACCTGAACAATCGCCTGTCTGTCCGGAAAGCGACGAGCGTTTTTGGTTTTCTTGCCCGTGGAAGACACCGTGTCCCTCATGACGGAATCCATTTCTTTGCCCCTAGACGGCGATGGAGGTGATGCAGTTCCGGAAGGAGGAGGTGCAGGAGGTGCTGCGTCTGCTGGCCGGCATTCTGCATCTGGGGAACATAGAGTTCATCACTGCCGGGGGCGCACAGGTCTCCTTCAAGACGGGTGAGACTCCTCCCTTCCTCACTCCCTCTATCCCTCCCTCCCTCCTTCTTTCCTCCACTCCCTCCCTCTCTCCCTCCTCCTCCCCCACTCCCTCCCCGAGATCCCAGACCCAAGCTGGCTGGCCTTGGACCTCTGTGACCCCTGAGACCTCCTGACGGTCTCACGCCCGTGACAGAGCCCTCGAATCCAGCACTGCTGAGACCTGCCCCCCTACCACGGGCCCCGAGGGTGGAGTCTGTGTCTCCATCCTTAACGGCAAAGGGGACAAATGGGCCGAGTGGATGGAGACACGGTGAGGCTTGGCTGTGGGAGAGTTTAGGGCTCAGCACCGCTCTCCCTTCCCGCGACTCTTGGCCATGTCACGGTTCTCACCGTTCTCTGCATCTCACTGTGTCGCCATCGCAGACTTTCTGCCAGTATGTTGTTGTGTGAGGGCCACACCTGCCAGTGCTCAGGCCTCACTCCTGGCTCTGTGCTCAGGGCCCAATCCCTGCCCACTGTACTATGACGCTGGCCCCGGGCCACGTTTTTAAAAATGGTGTGTTTAGCACAGTGGGTAGAGTGCTCACCTTACACACAGTGAACTGGGTTTGATCCCGAGCACCTCATTATGGTCCCCTGAGCACCGCCAGGAATCAGTGATTCCTGAGTGCAGAGCCAGGAGTAACCCCTGAGCATGGCTGGGGTGACCCAAAAAAGCAAAAACAAAACCAACCAAAAGATTAATAATAATAATAATAATAATTGTGTGTTTTGACCGTGACAGAAAATTTTCTTTTTGTGTGTGTTTTTGTTGCAGTTTTGTTTTGGAGCCAACCCCAGCAGTGCTCTGGGCTCACTCCTGGCTCTGCTCACGGGTCATTCCTGGTGGCACTTGGGGCTGAGGTGTCAGGCAGCAAACCTGGGTCCACCCAGAGCAGATCAAGTGCCTTGAACCCTTGAAATATCTCTACCACGCACATCAAGGTGTTTGGGGGGTTTTTATTGTTTTTCGGCCTTTTGTTGTGTGTTCTTCTTTTTATTTGTGTCACCGTTACTTCAAAACACAGTGTGATGATTACGTGGTGAAATCTGGTAGTGCGAGCCCCGAGCCCCGGAGGGCATCCAGCGGGCAGGGGCACAGGTTCAAACCCCCCCTCTCGCATCCTCCCCAAGCACGCCCGGGAGCGGCCGCAGCCCTGAGTGGCCAGTGTGACGCCGAAACCAGAGGAGAGACACATCGGGGTCAGCGCTGGTGTCCAGCCCACCCCGCCCCGCCCTGCACTGTGTGGGGGTGTTTGTTCCCACATACCCCCGTCTCCTGTGGGACATCCTCGAAGACGCGTGGTCCGGGTTCAGGAGCTGCGGTCCTTGGGGTGGCAATGGCCGTGTTCTGGGAAGGGTTTGCATGGTTGCCACCTGCCCATCCAGTTGGGAACCGTCAGTAGGGCCGAGAGGCGGGGATGGGAACGGTGCTCCCTGGCAGGAGGTCACCCTCCCCCCCAACGGCGCCCAGCTTTTCTTTTTTTGCTTTTTTCTTTTCTTTTTTTTCTTTTTCTTTTTGGGTCGCACCCGGCGATGCTCAGGGGTTACTCCTGGCAGTGCTCGGGAGACCGTATGGGATGCCAGGGATTGAACCCGGGTCGGCCAAGTGCAAGGCAAACGCCCTCCCCTCTGTGCTGTTGTTCTGGCGCCTGCGCCCAGCATTTCTGAGCCATGAGGGCCCCCACGGCCATTGTCTCAGGGGTCACTCGAAGGCAGGGCCGGAGCGATAACATAGTGGGCAGGGCGCTTGCCTTATGTGTGGCTGACATGGGGTCCAACCCGGCATGCTGTGTGGTGTTGTGTGTGTGTGTGTGTGTGTGTGTGTGTGTGTGTCCGACCCCCCCCCCCCGCACCCCTTCACCCAGAGTGACCCCTAAGCATGCCGCTGGGAGCAAGCCCCGAACACCGCCAGGGGCATAACCCAAGTGAAACAAAGGATTAAAAAAAAATGTTTTAAGTAAATTTGGGACTGGAGCAATAGCACAGTGGTAGGGCCTTTACCTTGCATGTGGCCAACCCGGTTTCGATTCTCAGCATCCCATATGGTCCCCCAGCACCACCAGGAGTAACTCCTGAGTGCAAGACTAGGAGTAACCCCTGTGCATTGTCCGGGTGTGACACACACACACACACACACACACACACACACACACACACACACACACAAAAGAAAAAAAAAAAGAAAAGAAAAGAAAAAAGAAATGTAAATTTGTTTCAAAATTTTATCAGTAGAGACTGGGGGTGCAGGGTTGTTGACAGGAGCTGTTTCCTGCTCTGCGTGGGGGAGTCACTCCTGGTGCTTCTCAGGGGGCCCAGAAGTCAAACCAGGGTCGGCGGCATAGAAGCAGGCACCTTTACCCCTGCACTGTGTCCCACAAAGCTTAGCTGTAATTCTGAAGGCAGGGAGGACCCCACTAGCCTCAGACCCGCGTGGGTCTCCATGGAATCCTCAGACCCCCTCCCCCACCCAGAATCCCCCCCTTGGTCCCCTCACCAGCCCCTCTGCTTGGCAGCCAGTCAGGCCTCCCAAGGGCGGCGAATCAGTAACTACCCAGCATCACATGGCCTTGTTCCATCGGCCCTGCGGGGGAGGGATGCTGGCGCATTCCCTGTCACTGAGCAGAGTGTCTTTCCTTTGACCCCTGGGTGGGGGCTGGGACCCATCCAGGAGCTGTGTGTCCACGGTTGCCTGGGTCTTTCGTTTCAGCCCTGGGCAGGTCTGCGGAGTTGCTGGGGCTGGACCCGGTGCAGCTCACGGATGCGCTGACGCAGAGGTGCATGTTACTACGCGGGGAGGAGATCCTCACGCCACTCAACGTGCAGCAGGTAACGCGCGCACCCAGGGCATCCAGCCCAGGCCTGGTCACGGCAGGGGGACCGGGAACCCTTTCAGGCACTCAGGAAACGGGCAGCGTCATGGACTCATTTCTCTCTGCCCTTGGCCGTGGCTCCCCGTCACCTCACGGCCCTCTGCTGGGCCCTTGGGGCGAGTCTCTGGCCTTACGTATAGGGTTCTTACAAGGATGACCGTGAAAGTATCTGCCGGGCACCTAAGGACCCACACGGAGCAAGAAGGCCATAGACAGGGCTCCGTTGTTGGACGGGACGCCAGGATACTCGCCTCTGCTTCCGATGGAGCCATACAAAGCCTGTCTGCCCACGGTTCTTTTTCTTCTTTGGTTTTTGGTTTTGTTTTTGGGCCACACCCTGCGAAACTCAGGGGTTCCTCCTGGCTCTTCACTCAAGAATCACTCCTGAAAGTGCTCGGGGGACTGCATGGGATGCCAGGGATCGAACCCGGGTCTACCATGTGCAAGGAAAACACCCTCTCCGCTGTACTAGCACTCCAGCCCTGCCAGTGGTTCTTGAGTGCTGGGCTGTGTCACAAGGACAGTTTTCATGTGTCTTAGAATGGGAAGAAGATCATGAAAGAAAGAAGTGGGGTTTGGTTGGTAGTTTTAGCCCTGATAACACTGATAATATATGAGGTCCAGATAGTACGGGGGTGAAGCCACTTGCCTTGCATGTAGCCAGTCCTGCTTGGAATCCTGGTCCCCTGAGCCCCGCCAGGAGTGATCCCTGAACACTGACCCAGAAATAAGCCTGAGGGGCTGGAGGTATTGTCAGGTTGGGTAGAGCTCTTGCCCTGCCAGCCCAGATTCCTTCCCCGGCATCTCACGTGGTCCCCCGAGCACTGCCAGGAGTTAGTCCTGAGTTCAGAGCCAGGAGGAACCCCTGAGCATCCCCGGGTGTGGCCTAAAATAAATTATTTATAAAAACTAAAATAAATACCTTTAAAAAAAATGGACAGCAGGTAGGGCATTTGCCTTGCACGCACCAAGACGGCCGATACAGGTTCGATTCCCAGCATCCCATATGGTCCCGCGAGCACCGCCAGGGGTGATTCCTGAGTGCAGAGCCAGGAGGAACCCCTGTGCATCACTGGATGTGACCCAAAAAGCAAAAAAAAAAAGGAAAGAAAGAAGGAGGGAAGCCTGAGCACCCCCCAAAACAAAACAAAATAGATTCCATGATCACAGTTACACCCGAGGCTGCTCCTGCCTTTCCCCTGGAGTGTCCCTGTGCTGGGCACAGAGAAGTAGCAGCCTTGAGGGGGGCGGCCTCAAGGCGGGGCAGTGGGCAGCGGGCAGCGGGCAGCCTGCGTCTTCTCCCCACAGGCGATCGATAGCAGGGACTCCTTGGCCATGGCACTTTATGCTCGCTGCTTCGAGTGGGTGATCAAGAAGATCAACAGCAGGATCAAAGGCAAAGAGGACTTCAAATCCATCGGCATCCTGGACATCTTTGGGTTTGAAAACTTTGAGGTAGGCCACCGAGGAGGGACGCTTCCTCCACCGCTGCTGTGCGCTGAGCTTCAAGGAGGGCTGGAGACAACTGCTTTGATCCTTTTCCCCGCTGCGTGGTGTGTGTGTGTGTCTGTCTGTGGCTTTTTTCCCTGTGTGACGGGGAAGGTACTAAAGAGGCTTGTTGGACGGTTTCCCCTCAGGTTAACCACTTTGAGCAGTTCAATATAAACTATGCAAATGAGAAGCTGCAGGAATATTTCAACAAGCATATTTTTTCTCTAGAACAACTGGAATATAGCAGGTAAGCCCTCAGAGACGTGCGTTTCCGACACTTGTTTACAAAAAGGAGAGAGAGAGAGAGAGAGAGAGAGAGAGAGAGAGAGAGAGAGAGAAGAAAAGTACCCACCCTAGAGGCAGAGTGAGGGTAGAGATAGGGTTGGATAGAGGGAAATTTGGGACTTTGGTGGTGGGAAACGTGCACTGGCGAAGGGACGGGTGTTGGAACACTGTATGACTGAAACCCAGTCATGGACAACTTTGTAACTGGTTGGGATTATTGGGTTTTTTTGTTTTTGTTTTTTTGTTTTGTTTTGTTTTCATTTTTGGAACACATCTGGGAATATGCTCAGGGCTTACTCCTGGCTCTGCATTCAGAAATTACCCCTGTTGGTGCTTGGGGGACCGGAACTTTGTAACTGTTTATCTCATAGTGATTTAATGAAAAATTAAGGGGGGGGGGCTGGAGCAACAACACAGCAAGTAGGGCGTTTGCCTTGCATGTGGCCATCTGGAGTTCGATTCCCAGCATCCCATATGGTCCCCTAAGCACCACCAGGAGTAATTCCGCAGTGTAAAGCCAGGAGTAACCCCTATGCATCGCCGGATGTGACCCAAAAAGAAAAAAAAATTTTTTTTTTTAAATGTACTATGTACCCGTTTGCAAGCTGCGTCTGCCTATAACTGCCATTTCCCTGTTTCCACAGAGAGGGCTTAGTGTGGGAAGATATCCACTGGGCGGACAATGGAGAGTGCCTGGACTTGATCGAGAAGGTAACCCCATTGTTAGGGCTGTTGCCGTCCCAAGGGTGGCCAGCTGGACTGATTCATTTTTATGGGAACAAACTCACTTGTGTGAACACGCACATCAAAGATGTGAATGTTTCCAACACAATAGGCCATTTGGAGACAGCTGTGAGTGTGGAAGGCCGAATTTCAATACTGGGCCAGGTCCAGCCCATTGTCCAGATGAACCCAGTTGCTACAGAGCCACAGGGTATGAATCCGCCTCACTCAGGCTCCATCAGAAGCTTGCCCATTACCTGTGGATCAGCCTCTTAATAAAGTTTGGCCCACAAGTAGACAGGGGCTTCCTTTTTTTTTAAAAAATGCGTATGTATAAAGAATTTAAATGCATTGGACTCTTTGATCGTATTGTTCTGAATTGCGGGCATGTTTTTTTTTTCTCTTGCAAGTCCCTGCTTCAGAGAGAGCCGAGAGGAAGGAATGGTAAGACACAGGAAAGGTCGGTCGTGCACGTTTCATTCATCCAGTCTTCCTCCCCTCTTGTAGAAACTCGGCGTCCTGGCGCTCATTAATGAAGAGAGCCACTTCCCGCAAGCCACCGACAGCACCTTATTGGAGAAGTTACACAACCAGCACGCTGTATGTTAAAACTTGCCGATTCCTAATTATGTCTGAATAGCAGATCTGAGGATTAAGATTACATCCGAGATAGCGAGGCCCGGTGGGGGCAGTTCCCACGTGCCTCCCACTTTTCTGCTGGGCTTTTGCTTTTTCTCTCAGCCCAGAGCTCTTCCGTTGCCAGAGAAGGCTTTTATTTAGTTTGCAGTTTTCAAATCTGGAGACTGGAGTGATAGCACAGCGGTAGGGCGTTTGCCTGGCGTGCAGCCAGCCCGGCCGAGCTGGGTTCGATCCCTCCGCCCCTCTAGGAGAGCCCGGCAAGCTACTGAGAGTATTCAATATGCCAAACACAGTAACAAGAGTCTCACAATGGAGATGTTACTGGACCCACTCGAGCAAATTGATGAAAAACGGGAGGACAGTGGACAGTGTTTCAAATTTGGGATCGTATTGGGAACGATACGGTGTACTGGAGGAGCACAGGGGCTCGTCTTTGGAATAGTTGGTTTCCACACTCCAGAGGCCCTCAAGTGCTAGTTATGGGGTCACATGACCTGTCACTCGAGCCCGAGGCCTACAGTCAGAATCCCAGGACTGGGGTTGGTTGGATTTGACTTTGTCAGTCCTTTTTTTTTTTTTTTTCCCTCTTTACATTCCACACCTAAGTGCAATAATCTGGCATTTGTCACCTTTTCAAAATGTTATTTTTGAAATTTGTTATTTCACTTAACATGACTCCATCCAGTTCCATCTGTGTAGGCACAGATAACAAGATCCGATCCTTCTTGGAGCTGACTCTGGTTCTGTTGGGCGCCCATCACGTCTTCTTTATCCTCTCACATTTGTTGTGTTCTTAGATTGATTTCATCTCTTCTTTAAATTTTCTTTATCTTAAACAATTTTGGGGCAGTGGGGGGCTGGAGCGATAGTACAGCAGGTAGGGCATTTGCCTTGCACGCGCCAACCTGGGTTCGATTTCCAGCATCCCATATGGTCCCCTGAGCACCGCCAGGAGTGATTCCTCCTGAGTGCAAAACCAGGAGTAACCGCTGTGCATTTCCAGGTGTGACCCAAAAAGCAAAAAAAAAATAATAATAATAATAATTATTTCATCTTTTAGCTATCAAAACTGTCATAGAAATAAAACCTGAACATGGAAATGCAGGTATCTTTTTGAACTGGGAAATGTTAAATAACCCAAACGGGTTGATTTTGGTCCACTCAGGATGCAGCCCCAAATCTACTGTCTGAGTAGCTCTAAATCTTGGGCCCACATTTAGGCCATGAAGAGAGAAGTTAATATGTTTCGCCTGCTGTGAAACATGGCTATGAGGTTTATGGTTTTAACAAAATCTGTCAGAGGCTGTGTGCTAAAGCTTTGATTCTTAATAGAGTTTGGAATTGTTTGAACTGGCATAATAAGTTTTCTCTGAAGTCATTTGGAAATCAGTAAGTGAACAAATGCTTTTCATTTGTTTTGTATCTTTAGAATAACCATTTTTACGTGAAGCCCAGAGTTGCCGTAAACAATTTTGGAGTGAAACACTACGCCGGAGAGGTAACTTATTTTTGAAGATCTTAGTATTTAGAGAAATAGTCATTCCCTAAGCCAGTCTTAGTAAAATGACTTATTTTTGTGAGTCAAGCTTTTAAGCAAGAAGCTTATGACCTGAAAGTGCCCTTTTTGATCAATTTTTCATTCTCTCATTTATTTTTGAAAACCAGGTTCAGTATGATGTTCGGGGCATCTTGGAGAAAAACAGAGATACTTTTAGGGATGATCTTCTCAACTTGCTAAGAGAAAGCCGGTATGTCTGTTCCCTTCCCAGATATCAGACCAATATTTGAAAAATGCTTTCTGTTCACCCATAACAAAAAAAAATTAATACAGAAGCAAATGGGCTTTTTCTTTCCTTGGGTTAATGTTTAATCCATAAAATAACCCAAATAATATAGAATTGTGTGGACAGCCATGATTGTCACAGGTGCAATAAGAGTCATCAATCCAAGAGTTGGATAAATTATTAATCCCAGAGATGAGGAAATGTAAGAGGCGGAGTTGATTCAGTCCAGATCCATTCAGCTCTGGGTTCAGTTTTCAGCCCGATAAAATAAATGTATCCTTTGTAGTGGCTAAATGACTCTTCCAAGATGTACCTACTGGTCACCAAGGAGCTGATAATCATTGCTTTAATAATCTGGTCCGCTTGACTCAAGAACCTAAACTCTGGGCCTCTGGGATAGTACAGTGGATAAGGCATTTCTGGCAAGTACCCGATCTGGGTTGAATTCCTGGCATCACAGGATTCCCCAGGCATCGTGAGACCCGCAGTACTGCCAGGCTAGTGCGATGTATCTGGGCTATACCTGGCACTGGAGGACCCAAGCAGAATCACATCCTTAGGCCCTTGTACCGAACCTGTGGCCTGGTTGGCCAAGAATGTCTGGTCAAAAAAAGCGCACAGCTGACCGGAGTTTAATCCCTGGCACCATAGACAGCACACACTAGGAATGAGCCCTCAGAACGGCCTGGCAGAGCCCCCAGACAAAGCAAATTTTAAAACTAACCTCTTATCCTTCTCATCCCGTCTGACCTACTTTCTCCATATCCAACCCAGAGCCGTGTGTTCAGATGATTTCAGTCTTCGCTTTGTCGGACCCCAAGTTCGCTAACAGGTGTCAAGGAAAATAAACAAGCATTCATTCCGTGAAAATTATAGCTTCATTACATATTCATTTATTCGTTCATGAATTGTAAATTCGTTCCGATCAATGGTGAAAAGAAACATGCAGAAGCCTTCAATGATCGGTTTCAGCTATTTGTCGAGTTAAGCCCGGAGGCTTTTGAGAAAGAGGAAGAGGACGGTGTCCTGAGGCTTCAACTTTATCAGACTCCATATGAGCTAGAACAGAAGCCAACGTTCGATATCTCAGGAGCGCAGGGAGCACAGCTACTAGAAAGCGCTTATGCCGGTAGAAAGCGCGGGTAGAGCCCGACATTCAAAGAGCTGTAAGTCGGGGGCAGAAGAAGCCCGTCGAAGATGCCAACTGAGAAGCTCAGAATTTGAAGCATTCAAACTTTTGATGTGTTTCACCTCTCCTATGTGAAACTCCCACTTTGTCAGATAAGCTTGAGTTTGTTCTTTTTTGTTTTTTGCTTTTTGGGTTACACCTGACCATACACAGGGGTTCCTCCTGGCGGTGCTCCGGGGGCCCTATGGGAGAGAATGAGACAAGCAGATAAGCAGACATACAAACACACAGGGGGACTGTCTAAGCTTCCAGGTTGCCCAGCTGGCCTCAGTGAGCTCGGGGCTGGCCTTCTCTTCATTGCCATGTAACTCCCCAGAGCCATTCTGTAAGCTGGCAGAGAGGGCGGTTAGCAAGAACAGTAGCATTTAATAGGTAAGGGCAGGGACTGGGTACTTCTCCCAGCCAAGGCTTCTAAAATACCCTAAACTGTTTGTACTATTATTTCCTGGGGGTATGCTTCTTTTTTTTTTTTTTTGGTCCTCTGTTTTCTGCTCACAACCAGGATTCGCACTTTGGCAAACCCTTTGTATTCTAAACTGCTTTACCTAAGGGACTAACCCAAACTTGGATCCCCGAACTTGGGGATTTGTCGTTGTTGTTGTTAGGGGAACAGTTTTCCACAATCAGTTGCGTGGAACCAAACCCCTTCTCCAAGGTGCTCCAGGCACATTAGAGAGCTTCAAAGGGTGAGCCTTAAAGAATACCCTTGAACCAAAGTGGAGAAGGGTTGGGCCTGAGGTACAGCAATGACCTTGGGGCTGCGCAGCCTTTATCCTACCTTTCCTGGTTTGTGCCCAGCCCTTGGCCTTCTCGCCAATGACACGTCCCCAGCAAGGAAGTCGAACAAGTTGATGAGCACTTTCTCATGGGAGAACCCCAGTATTTTCGGAGATAATCTAAGATTGCACCCATTTCCCAGATGACATAGACTGAGGCCCAGGGAGCTCCCGGCTTCTTGCCCCAGTGCCTCAGCTAGGAAGAGGCGAGACAGGATTGGAATCAGTCAGCTTCCAGAGTTAGCCCATCCTTCCCACCCATTGTCGGCTTGGACTCCCCCTCACGGGGAGAGGCACAGAGCAAGCACAAGACACTCAGAAGGTGCTCTGGAGAACAGGTGACCCCAACGAGCCCACAATCTGGGGCCGTGTCTCCCGTCCCAATTTATTCTGCAAGCCCAGTGCTCTGAAGCTGCCAGAAATTTAAAAAAAAAAAGGGTGGGGGGGGCTGGAGCGATAGCACAGTGGGTAGGGTTCGATTCCCAGCATCCCTTAGGGTCTCCCAAGCACCGCCAGGAGTAATTCCTGAGTGTAGAGCCAGGACGAACCCCTGTGCACCAACAGGTGTGACCCAAAAAGCAAAAAAAAAAAAAAAAAAAAGTAATGTGGAGTTCATGCCCAATTCAATCAGCTTAATCAATGGATAAACCAATACACCTACATTATTTTTTTTTAAATTTAATAAATAAAATTAAAAAATTTTAAAAAACCCAAAAAATTAAATTAAAAAATTAAAAATAAATAAAAATTTAAAAAGGAATTCATTTATTTTTCAGTGCATGGGGTGGGGGGTTGGTTTGTAACCCAGATGGCCATCTTAGTTCGCCCAGGGCCTCTGTGGGTGACACAGAGAGAGAGAAATGCACGTAATTACAGCCATGGCTCCTGATTCGTGGGTGTGTCCCGCTCATGCCCTCCCCTCTCCGCTCTCTCAGCTTCGACTTCATCTACGATCTCTTCGAACACGTTCCCAGCCGCAACAACCAGGACACCCTGAAAAGTGGAAGCAAACACCGCCGGCCCACTGTCAGCTCCCAGTTCAAGGTCAGTGGACGCTGCCCGCTCTGTCAGTGGGTCATTATTGTGATTCTGAGAACACGGAATTGGGGCCGTGTAACTGGGAAGTCTGTGCACGAGTTATTCTCTCATTTACATCATCTCACAAACCAGGTGAGGGCACGCGTAAATGCTCTCTTTTGTGAGTCTGATAAAAATAGGCAGATGGTTTTGTGAAAATAAATAGCTGTTCATTCCAATTTTATTAAATGGTATGTCTTTCCGTATTTTCAGTAGCATTTATATTTTATTTGTTCATTCTTAAGAAGGCTGCTCTTTGAAATCTGATTTGGGGGCTGAAGCAATAGCCCAGCAGGTAGGGCGTTTGCCTTGCAGGCGGCCAACCCGGGTTTGATTCTCAGCATCTCATGTGGTCCCCTGAGCACCGCCAGGAGTAATTCCTGAGTACAAAGCCAGGAGGAAACCCCTAGGCATCGCTGGGTGTGACCCAAAAAGCAAGAAGGAAAAAAAGAAATTTGATTTGTAGGGCTGGGGTTGTGCTCAGCGGTAGACCAGTTGCTTTATGTAAGTGAGTCCTGGGGTTCAATTTCCAGCACCATCATACACATTAAAAAAAAAGAAGAAGAAGAAGTAGAAGAAGAAGAAGAAGAAATGAGGACCAAAGCGATAGTACAGAGGAGAGGGTATCATTTGCCTTCTATGCAACAGACCCGAGTTCAGTCCCCAGCATCCCATATGATCCCCCGAGCACCAACAGGAGTGATTTGAGTGCCGAGTGAGGAGTAACCCCTGAGCATCTTGGAGTGTGACCCCCCCAAAAAAACAGAAAGGAAGAAAGAAATGGACTGGAGAGATAGTACAGGTGGGTAGGGTGCTTGCCTTGCATGCAGCTGGCTGGTGAATGTTCAGTCCCCAGCACTCCACAGAATCCCTGAGCCCCACCAGGTGTGACCCCTAAGTGTAGAGCCAGGCGTCAGCCCTGAGCACTACCAGGCGTAGTTCCGAAACAAAACTCAAAAACCTTGACCATGGCGTCTGCTTTGCGTTGAGAAAGTTGTGAACACAGAATATATTTGTTCCTATGTCTGCATTTGTGTCCAGGGTTTTGGAAAAATAAGGGACGTTCTTGTTCACTTTTGGGACACGTAGCATTTTCTGCAGTTGGAGGAGAATCCCCGAGGACACTTCCCTCACTGTTCTCTCACCCAAATTGACCAGCTCGAGAGAAGGAGAACCGGGGCCCTGGGTTCAGTCCCACACGCGTATTTTTCCAGGCACCTCTGCAAATGCCCCCTCCCCACACACCTATCTGGGACCAGCTCCTGAATTCTGCTGGGTGTGCACCCCCACCCCCAAACCAACCTTACAGGTGTTGGTCATCTACAGTACGTGAGCCTTTACGTTCTGGTAAAGGTAAAGGTAAAGGTAAAGGCCCTCCCGTTGATCGTCGATTTGCTCGAGCGGGCCCAGTAACGTCTCCATTGGAGAGTTTGTTGTTACTGTGTCTGGCATCTCGAATATGTCATGGGGAGCTTGCCGGGCTCTCCGAGAGGGGCAGAGGAATCGAACTCGGGTCAGCCATGTTGGCTGCATGCAAAGCAAACGCCCTAACCGCTGTGTTCTGATTCAAAAAAAAAAGCCATTTAAAATTATGAAATTTAAGGGATTGGAGAGATAGTAGAGGGGTTTAAGTCACTGACATAAGGCCAACCCAGGTTCAATCTCTAGCACCTGATATAGTCCCCCAAGAACCATCAGGAGTGACCCCTGACCACAGAACTGGGAGTAGCCATTGAACACTGCCTTGAATCCCACATCTTAAAAAAAAAAAGATGAAATTTGATCATTTGATGCCATTGAGTATTGAAATATGACACTTCGAGACGTTATTATACCTTTGATTGCAATAAAAACTTCGTGTTTAAATCTTTTGGGGAAGTGATGATATCGTAGTTTTGTATGTATGCTTTATTTTTTTTTATGCTTTATTTTTGGGGGACCACCAGCGTTGCTGGCAGGGGGGCAAGTGGAGCTGGAAATGGAACTTCTTGTAAAGCTTGTGCCCAGCCCACTGAGCTGTCTCAGTCCCCAGAAGAAAAATTTTTTATAATGGTACACTGTCACTGTCCTCCCGTTGTTCATCGATTTGCTCAAGCAGGCCCAGTAACGTCTCCATTGTGACAGTTGTTACTGTGTCTGGCATCTCGAATACGTCACGGGGAGCTTGCCAGGCTCTGCCGTGCGGGCGAGATACTCTCAGTAGCTTGCCGGGCTCTCTGAGAGGGCAGAGGAATCGAACTCGGGTCGGCCATGTTGGCTGCGTGCAAGGCAAACGCCCTACCGCTGTGCTATCGCTCCAGCCCAATGGTACACTATGTTAAGGAAATGATACGTGAATTATGAACACATGAAATAATTCCAGTGACACTCATGTTATGGCCGCTTCAGATGAAATAGCCGAATCAAGACAGCAAGAGTTATTTTCCCTACGGTTTCCATTGTCTTGATCTCTTTTCTCTTGTTTCTAAGAAGTGCGTGGACTGCTGAGAAGTGTAAAGTGGGAAGAGACTGATCCTGCCTTCTGCTTTCTCACAGGACTCCCTGCATTCCCTGATGGCAACGCTGAGCTCCTCGAACCCTTTCTTTGTCCGCTGCATCAAGCCAAACATGCAGAAGGTAAGACTGGAGAGGCTTCTAGACTAAAGCTAATGCTTGAAACACTTCGATGCTGGTGCTACAGTTTGTGTTTCTTGCCATCGGGGGGACTTCATAGTGCTCGACTCTGTAAGACAGTGCTCAAGTGGAATATGAAACTTTGACAGTAGTAATCACTTCTGTTGGAACTTTCTGAGGGACATCCAAGTGCAAGCCACCAGTGGTACACACCATCCATGGCATATCGGTGTGAGCCATGGGTGGTACACACTGTCCGTGGGGCATGAGATATGAGCCACTGGTAGTACACACTGTCCGTGGGGCATGTGGTGTGAGCCATTGGTGGTACACACTGTCTATGGGATACCAGGTGTGATCTGTTGGTGGTATAAACCATCCATGAGACACCAGGTATGAGCCATTGGTGGTATGAACTGTCCCTGGGTCACCAGGTGTGAGCCTTTGGCGGTACGAGCCACCCCTGGGACACCAGGTGTGAGCCTTTGGTGGTACGTGCCGGCATCCATGAATTGAACACCTTCCATGGTTGACTATTTCTAAACTAGCTTTCTCCCAAGTCCTTTTACTTGAAAGGATAGAATATAATAATTTAACATCACAAGGGAAATTTTTTTCTTTGTCTCTTGGGCATGTTCCTCTGCCTTTGGATGATGTAATTAACCTTTAGAGAGCTCTGTTTTAAAAAGGAAATACAGTGGGGCCAGAGCCACTGCAGTGGGTCGGGTGTTTGCCTGGCATGCAAGACCGATCCTGCTTTGATCCCTGACATTCCATATGCCCTGCCCCCCCCGCCCCCCACCACCACCACACAACAAACTTTCCAGGAGAGATTCCTGAGCGGAGGGAGGGAGGGAAGAAAGGAATGAATGAACGAGCCAACCAGCCAACCAACCATGGAACCATCACTTCTCATAGCAAATGCTTCGAAATTCCCAGACAAGAGTGCCAGCTGCCCTTTTCGAAGAAATGGTCTTAGGTTTTCAGTTGGGATCTTTTCTTCCTAAACGTTCTTCTGCCGTTAAATATGATGAAGAGCCTCTCTACTTTTTATCTGGGGGTGAGGGGAGCATCACTCCCAGTCGGTGCTCATGAGGTTTGCTTGAGCTTGAAAGGTTTCTTGTAGTGTTTGGAGTGCCCCCAGGCTCCCCTTGGCAGTGCTCAGAGGGTCCTTGGGCGCTGGATACGCGCTGGGGCTCAGGGTCAGCCGAGCAGCAGCCCTTTGTGCTGCTTTGTCGGCCTGAGTCTCTTGGCAGTGGAGTATCAGCTTTGAGGTCTCAGGCCGGCCACTTAATACGGTCTCACTCCCCACTCGCTCACACAGGTGCTCACAGACGGCAAGGAGCAGTTCCTGCTGCATACAACAGAGGCTGGCAGGGCACCAGCAGATACCCTGAGAGCCTGATATTCTGGTAGTTTCCTCTTCTGTTTCTGCCCTCTCTGCCTCTCAGCTGAGAGAACCTACAAGTCTCAGTCTCTGAAGAAATTCTCTTCTCTCCTGGGTGTTCTGTTGGCAAGCTCTTTGTCATCTAGGAAGAAACTACTTGTTTGTATTCTAAGAACTAAACTGTTTTGCCTTGGGGAATATCCCCACCTTGGGGCTTTTTGTTGTTGTTGTTGTTTAGGGGAAAGATTTCTCACAAAGAGAAACTTGTCTTTGAGATATAGGGTCTAGGACTAAATGGGCAACTTGCCTTAAAATATTGCCACATTTGGGGGCTGGAGCAATAGCACAGCGGGAAGGGCATTTGCCTTGTAGGCGGCTGGCCCGGGTTTGATTCCCAGCATCCCATAGGGTCCCCTGAGCACCGCCAGGAGTAACCCCTGTGCATTGCCGGGTGTAATCCCCTCCCTCCAAAGAAAAGCACTTGTCACTTGTCTTCCTGTTATTCGCTGGGGCAGGCGCCAGTAACAACTCCATTTGTCCCTGTTGCATGCTAGCATAACCCAGCGGCATACTGGGGGCTCTTTCAGGGTCAGGGGAATGAGGCCCGTTATTGTTATTATTTTTGGCATCACTACATTTGGAGAAGCCAGAAAAAGAGCTGAAGGCACCAAGGTGTATGCACTGCATGTGAGAGGCCTGGGTTCAATTCCCAGCTCCACATGCTGCCCCCCAAAGCACCACTGAGGAGCAGCCCCTGAGCAGGGCTGGGTGTGGCCCCCAAAACTGAAAGCGAAATGGAATGACTTGGATTTGACGGACACCTCAGGGAGAAGAAAGTACTGGCGGCCAGTCGTGGCCTGTGGAAGAGATGGATGCTGTGCTCTCTCCCCCAGGCCGGTGCTGTGCCCTGACAGTGTGGCAGAGGCAAGACTGACTCTCTGCTAGGTCCCCGCTGCCTTTGGCTCAGTCGTCCAGCGATCACTTGTTTTATAAAGACCTTTCTGGACACAAGCCATCTTGCTGCACCAGAAAGACAAAAATGGGTCTTTTCTAAGAAGGAATCACCTGCTCTTTGGTACCTTAGTTGGGGACGGGGTCCGGGGGAGACTTGTCAGATATAATGATGAGACGGAGACTGGTCTTCTGTAGGAGGTCAGGGAGAGCATTCACTTCCGGAGTGTGCTTGGGGTCCCAAGCCATAGTACAACAGATGTTTTCGCACTCAGCCAACCCAGGTTCCATCCCCGGCACCCCATATGATCCCCTCCGAGTACCGCCAGGAGAAAGCCCTGAGCACTGCCGGATGTGTCCCCACATCCAAAACATAAAAAAAAAAGGAACAAAACAGGTGCGTGTTCAGGTAATTCAATGTTAATGTCCACACTTCAGTTTGTAATAATTAAGCCACACCAGTGCACGCCATTGGCAGTACATGCCAGCCTCATCCTGTTAAATAGTAGCTCACTTTGTTTCAGTTCCACATGAAAATTGTCAAATGCAAGAGTGACCCCAAAAGCAGCAAGTCCACTCTTTGCAGATTAGACATATCCAGACACATGCACCGCCCCCCCCCATGCCCCCCAACCCCCCGTGTGAGCTGGCTGCTAGGATCCCCAGCGGGGTCTACCCGTGCAGAGGCATGCTTGAGAGAGCTACCATGGGACACCCGCCCTGTGAGATGGGCTCCCTCCTCCCCTTGGCGAGGGTTTGAAGCCCACCATGAGCACTTGGGCTCAACGAATCAAAAACTCATTGTGAATATAGTAGAAGGGTTTTCGTTGTTGTTCTTTGGGACTTTCCTATTTTTGCTTTGAAAGCAGGTGGGAGGGCCAGAGACACAGGGATTAAAGCACTATGCCCTCCCCGCAAGCTCCAGTACCCAGCACCCCGTATGGTCCCCCAAGTACCGTCAGGAGTGATCGAGCCCTGAGCGCAGAGCCAGGAGTAAGCTCTGAACACGGCCTGGTGTGATCAAAGTCTCCTTCCCTCTCCCCCGCCAGGGGAAAAAAAAAAAAAGAAAGAAAGAAAAGAAAGAGCAGGTGCAAACCATAAGAACATGCTGAGATAATTATGTCAATCCAAGCAACAAGAAGAGCTTTGTTACCCGTTTCCAAATGAGTAATATGTTGTAGCTGATCTTTGGGAAGGTAGAAAAGACACTTTGGCGTGGAGTGGGCAGGACTGCTGCTTTGTGAGTTGGAGGCCTGGACTCAGTCTCTGGGACATTGCGTGGTCTCCTGGAATACTGCCAGGAGGAACCCCAGTAAGTCCCCACACACACACACACACACACACATACAAGCACACAAACGGGTATGGCCAACCCCCAGCACCCCATGCCCAAAAGTCACTAGAGTTCGAGAGACATTCCTGGCACTGTTCTAAGGGACTTGGAAGGTTCTCAATGGGGGGTTGAGGGCCCCAGGCCCTTTGCCCCAGCATGGAGGGCATCATCCTCCACCCAGCCTGGAGGGAAAGGGCTTCTGACAGTGGGGCCTGTCAGCTTGGGGGGGGTCCCCTGTAGCCAGCACCGGCTGCCCCCAGACTGCGAGAGCCCTGAACTCCTGCTGCTCTCCAAGGCCCAGGAAACCTGCTTTGCTGCCTCAGAATTTCTCCAGGGAGCTTGTTGGAGGCTGGTCTTTGAGCAAATCAGTCCTGCTCCGAGAGCCTATCATTAACATTCCTCAGAAAAACCCTGAGGAGGGAATTAAAGCTGGAGCCCAGCGGGAGCCCTGGGCAGTGAGAACTGGGGTCTGAGTTTCCCACCCGCCAGGAGACAGACCAGGGCTGCCTCCTCCCCTCCCCTCCCCTCCCCTCCCCTCCCCTCCCCTCCCCTCCCCTCCCCACGCCCCTGGTTCCTGGGCCTGCTCTGTTGTGTTCATGGGGCAGAAAGCAGACCAAATGCTGGATTGCAACTTTTTTTTTTTTTTTGCTTCATCAAGCAATACTCAGGGGTTCCTCCTGGCTCTGCACTCGGGAATTTCTCCTGGTGGGGCTCAGGGGCCCATAGGCGATGCCAGGGATCAAACCCAATAGGCACCGTGCAAGGCAAACGCCCTCCCCACTATACTGTGGCTCCAACCTCTGGATTTCAACCTTGTGATTAAAGTTTCTGGAATTATCCATCATGTAGTTCTCACATTTTCTTTTAGGGTCTATTATGGTGATTAAGAGCCCCAGGCCTGTGTAAATTTAAAGATACTTTAGTATAGAATTATTCATATTATTGAGTTTTTAAACGTCTATATGCCTGTTTAAAAAAACAAAAGAGGGGGCTGGAGCAAGGCGTTTGCCTTGCAGGCGGCCGACCCAGGTTCGATTCCCAGCATCCCATATGGTCCCCCGAGCACTGCTGGGAGTGATTCCTGAGCGCAGAGCCAGGAGTAATGCCTGAGTGGGACAAGAAAGAAAGAAAGAAAGAAAGAAAGAAAGAAAGAAAGAAAGAAAGAAAGGAAGGAAGGAAGGAAGGAAGGAAGGAAGGTAGTTTGGGGAGAAGATTCTAATCAAGGTATCACTGAGTTTCAGTTTTGTGGACTCGGCACTTTTGGTGTACTCAGGGCCAAGTGTAGGAGTCACACCTCCACAGTCAATTAAGGAAAAATCTCGTATGTGGGAT